AGCAACCACTCATGATCGCCCCCACTTGTGAGGGAAGCATCCGTCGATAGCAATATGCGTCGACAAGAAGCCCCCAACACTGGGCCTGGGCGAGGAACCAAGGTTCTTCCACATGACCGAAGCACGAAGGCATAGCCGCGTGACCTTGATCATGCGAAAACGTATTTCCCCTCGGAGAAAACCCCTTGGTCCTGAGCCACCACTGCAGGGGTCTCATGAACAGAAGGCCAAAAGTAATACGTTGGACGCAACTGCCATGAGACCCACCCGTCTGAAACTGTTTCACAGTGAGTGACTGGCCTAGATATACCCCATTACGGCTGTAAGAATTGCTACACCCAGAAAAGTGGTCCTCAGAGCACACTCTTCTTGGCGTTGAGAGGCAACCCCAACATCCTTAATGAGACAGAACGACATCTCGATGCCGAACTGCCATAAACTCAGATTGAGCTAGGAGCAACCAATCATTGATGTAGTATAATACGCGAATGCCCTGGAGTCTCAGAAGAGCCAGAGCTGCATCCACGCATACTGTTAAGGTGTGGGGTAATAAACCTAGGCCGAATGGAAGAACCCGATAATGGTATGCTTCGCCCCCGAAAGCAAACCTCGGGAACCTCCCTCATCCTCTTTCGGAAACAATGAAGTAATGGCTGTCTGCTGGGAGGAGGAACCCCTTCTACAGCTCCTTTTGCAGAAGTGACAGTACTTCCTGCTCCATAACCAAAGCCTGCTCGGGGTCCACCAATGAGAGGAGGGACCCCTAGAAATCTGGGCGAACGAGAACCGCTGAAACCCTTTTCTATAGTGTGCAGGACCCACTGAGAAATATGTTGCAGTAGTTTCCACGCTGCCAGAAATTTACTAGGGGAACCAGTCTCTCAAGACTGGCCTCTGGATTTGTTTGAACAGTCACTACGGCGCCCTGAAGCGGCGAACCGGCAGGGAACAACCGAACTGACCATTCTACGACCCTCCTAGGAGGATCGCATGGGGATGCTGACACCTCGGTGCCCTGAACGGCGAACCGGCAGGGAACAACCGAACTGGCAGCGCTGCAACCCTCCTCAAAGAGTTGCACCCCAGAGGAAAAACGATTTCTCAAAACCGTCCCTTGGTTGAACAGTCACTACGGTGCCCTGAAGCGGCGAACCGGCAGGGAACAACCGAACTGACCGCTCTACGATCCTCCTCGGAGGATCGTATGGGGACGCTGACACCTCGGTGCCCTGAACGGCGAACCGGCAGGGAACAACCGAACTGGCAGCGCTGCGACCCTCCTCAGAGAGTCGCACCCCAGAGGTCGCCGAGGAGAAACGATTTCTCAAAACCGTCCCTGCCCCGGAGGAGCCCTCAGAAGCCTGATAGCCTCGTTTTCTTGCGACAGGACTTCTTGTCTAAGCTTTATTAGAGATGATGACAGTCCTCAGACCTTGCCTACCTCTAACTAGCTTAGTTCCTACGACCCTCCTCGGAGGATCGTTGAAAAAAGCAGGCACTTCGGCGCCCTGAAACGGCGAACCGGCAGGGAAACCAAACTGACTGCTCTTCTTTTTTCTTATTTGAAGGCTCGTTTGGGGACACTGACACCTTGGTGCCCTGAAACGGCGAACCGGCAGGGAAACCGAACTGGCTGTACTGCGACCCTCCTCAGAGAGTCGCACCCCAAGCCGTCTCAGGAACATTAGATTGGTGAGGAAGAAACCTCTGGAACGCCGCTGAATGGTTTATTTCTTAGTTTTCTTGAAAGCGGAGCGTCCAGAAGAACAGACATAATTATATCTTTATTTTCCTTTATCTTTATATCAGAAAAAACTTATATATATATACATATATATCACTCTGCGGCCACCAGCAGGAAACAACCGAACTGGCAGCGCTGCGACCCTCCTCAGAGAGTCGCCCCTCACATTCATCCATGTCCTTATATACTCTACCCACCAGCGCTGCCTAATAAAAATGTATTCATTATTAAGATGGCTGGTGGGTAACGTCGGGGTTAATAACGATAACGCCGACTCGGGAGAGAGAAAGCTCGCAAGCGTCTCTTTAACCCGAGGCAATGTCATACTATGATACTTAATACCCAAACATTACTATAGTCAGACATCTGGGGATTAAACACATAAAATACAAACCGGTTTATTCCACAATCTCGACACCTCAGTGTGGAGATAGGGAAAAACCACAGTCCCCGACGAGGAGGCTGAGATACAGAGTTTTCCTGTTTTAAGATAGTTCATCTAACAAACTCTTCTTTATTTTCAATCTCATAATGTTCAACTGGCCAGTAAATATTTAACTGGCAACAGCACTAGATAAAACCTCCTTTTTTTCTTTAAAAAAGCTCCTCTTTATTCAACAGAGTTATGAGCTGGAAAATTTATTCACTGAAAACTCAAACATCTGCCTTTTTATAAAGATTTGTATTTGTTTTGTTCTCTTTCTTATTAAACAAAACACTAACGATACCAATTCCTCGGAACTGGAAATCGCAGCACACTAGATCTGGCATGTGAAAGCTGAGAAAGGGCGGAGCCCGTCCCAACCCCCGCTGTCAGATCCGTTTTCGAACCCCGAAATACGAGCCGTCTCCGAGCCTCGGCAACAGAGAGACCCGCTCGGGGAACGCGAACCGAAACGTCCTCCTCGAAGAACGCCCGGCGGGAGCGGAGCGTCCTCACGGACAGCTTCTCGCAATGCACAGTCAGATCCCTCGAGAAATGACTGTTGCATGCTCCACTCCCAAACAGCAACAAAAAGCTGATGTGTGTCCCCACCCGTGATGTAACGAGGGCAGGGAACAACACAACGTCTATAATATTGCTTTGCTCGCCATAATAATAGATAGTGATATATATATTGGGCTTGACAAACAACAATAAATAGACAAGGACAGAATCACAGAGAGCGCTTGCCGAAGACAACAGAAGCTGTCGCGGTCTGTTTTCAAGGGTGCTTTATAGTTTCCTGGTCTATGACGTCACCCATGACGTATCGGGCTTCCATTGGACTGATTTTACACGTGCTTCATGACGCAATCACGCAGAGCGTTCCCACCGCGTCTCAAACGCAGCTCGAAGTTCCCTTGAAAGGGAAACCCCGTAGCAGACCTTGGCAGGTGGAGCTGGGGGAGGTGGAGGGTGTCAGAGGAACTCTAATAGCACGCTGCAGGACTAGCTTACAGCAATCAATAACCTAGACTGTTTAAATGTTGAGCAAGCAATCTCATTGGCTGCAGGATCAGCAGAGGCCAATCAGCTTGTGCCATGTGGTAATGATGCAATTGCTTGCAGATTGCAGGTAAAGAACAGCCTGCGCCCTCTAGAGTTTCATGACTGAAATAGATGTCATTTACAGTAACCTGTATATCACCATCCATCTGCAGGTATTAATCATGGACCTGTAATAGCTGGGGTGATTGGAGCTCAGAAACCGCAGTATGACATTTGGGGCAACACAGTGAATGTCGCAAGTAGAATGGACAGCACAGGAGTGCTGGGAAAAATACAAGTAAGATAAGATGTTTTTTTCCCCCCACTATATCTGTGAAGTTTATAAAAGATACAGAACCATAAATTCTTGTTGATTTACAATCTTTAAATTGCCTCGAGTCCTTTTAATAGATATTTGAGTCGAGGTAAAGTAACTCTCCATGTAAAACCAGTGGGATTCTAGACTGAAAAATTGCTCATGCTTTGAACAACGTGCAATGCAATGACCCATTAATACATTTAATTCCTTTGTGTATGTGTTTGCAGGTTACAGAAGAGACGAGCCGTATCTTGCAGACGTTAGGCTACATGTGCACATGCAGAGGAATTATAAATGTGAAAGGGAAAGGAGAGCTCAAAACATACTTCGTCCACACTGAGATGAGCCGGTCTTTATCCCAGGGGAATGTAATGCCATGAATCATACAACACATGCAATGAACTGCAGACATCCACAAAATGGGAATAAAATAGACATTTGTAAATCATTGCGCCTAGTCTTTAGATGCACGAAATATTGGATGTATTGAAAGTGATACCATTTCTACCGTATCTCATAGGCAGGGTTTGTGCACAGGGTACTGTAAATATGGTAGCAATTATTTTGTAAGAAAATCAAATATAACAAAAAGTGTTTTGATGTTTTAACACCATTTTTTTCTTTTTCTTTTGTAAAAACTTCATTAAACTTTATATGTACTTGTCTTTTTTGAGGGCATCTTTATTTTTATGATTGACAAAGGTTTGATATATTGTAGTGCATATTACAGAATACAGGAATAAGCTAGTACTTAAACTTTTCTGTGTTGTGTCACTGACATGCTGTGCATGATACGTGTGACATATTGACACCATTGGCATATAGATGTAGCTTTGGACAGTAGCGCCAGTTGTGAATGTAATATAGTATTCTATGTTTGTATGTCTGTCATGTTTTCATTCATAATGAAAATATTTCCCTTTATGTATTTCATAAAAAACAAGTGCACTGTTTAGTTGCTCTTTGCAACCTCCGTGCGCGATCTATGTGAATTGGTGCTGGACCACTATCGTCAAGCCCTGAGAGGTGTTTGTACATTTTCTCTGTTGCATTATTGTCCCAAGTGGATGAAATATCATCTGAAACAGCACTACAGGTAGATTGTTTGAACTTTATATTTACCCCTTTAATGTATTAATTGTTTAGTTGTAGTTGGATAAATGAATGAGGTCTTGATGTGGCTATGTCTTTGAAAAAGTTTAGAGCCAGTTCAGGACAGAAAATAGATGGATCTCATTGATCTAAGGTCACGGGGATCTCAGACCATAAGCAGGGAAACAGCCTGGACAGTTGGGGGAAGTGTGGGGGAAACTGGAGCATAAATACCAACAGAAAGGCACCCTGGGTCTGCCGGGACTCAAAGCAAGGACCTCTTCGCTGTAAACCGACAGTGCTATACCACCCTGAGTCACAAGATGTTGACTTAAACTGATTTTATGAAATTAAATTTCAATGACAAGATAAAAGAGCTGTACAAGACCATTTATTTCGAGAATTTTTAATAAAAATCAAACTTTTAAAACATCTTTACAAACAGCAAACAATGAAAATGTCTTACATTTTTGTATTCCATTTTCCTGGGACCTGTTCCACAAAGCTTTAGTAACTTGAACCAAGCAGCTGTGATCACAGTGACATCTCTGAAGCACTTCCTGTCTCTGACATTTCAAATTAAAAGAGTTTAGAGAACTATGCTTTATTTTTAGAGATGGACAAAATTAGATTCTTTATAATTCAAGGGATGTAGATTTCCATCTGCTGATTTAATTTGTTCCACTTTGAATGATATTTTTTGTACTTTGCCTTTATCTGCTTTAGAGTTGGTGTAACATCTAATAACAATATTTATGATGCTTTGTATATATATATATATATATATATAGCTATTTTAATTAGAATGATCTTTTTTAAAAAAGTTTGAATTATTCATATTCATAAAATTCTCTTCATCATTAGCGAAGTTGTTCATGCTCTCAAGAGAAGAGAATCGCATTGTCTTCATGTTTCTGAATGTAATTTTCTTGAGAAATAATTACAAATGTATTTAATTTTGTCAACTTGCAATAATCCAACCCAATCACGAGTTTGTTCAACTTTGTTGTACAGGCCTGTGTTTCAAACATGCTTGATGTTTTCTTTTCTGTTCTAGAATGACATTTGACACACACAAAAAAAAGTCGGTTACTGTGAAGAATTATATGGATATATGGACAATGGCTGCATCCAAAAATACTTTCTTGAGTAGGTACTTATTTTAAAGTACTTACTTTGTGAGTGCTAAAAAAGTAGCCTACACTCTATACAGTATGAATGTGTGTAGTATGAATGTAATCCATACTTATGTGACCTACTAGCATCAGTTGCTATTATAAAATTCTCTCCCGTGGCCTAATCATAGGATAGTAAAGTGTCAATCGTATGCACAATTTAGGATCTCGCCTGAAGTAGTAGGTCATCCGGGTACTTTGTTTACTTTTTTATGAGTACTGTGAATTTGGACATACTTCTTTTATCATATGTGGAAACGTGATTTTGGACACAGCCCATGTCTCTTTGTCGGAGATGAAAAATACACATGACTGTTTACTGCAGGACAAGCATGAATACACTTCAGCTGGGCTGTTAAGCAGCAGGCTTACATTTGGCCTTTAATCCACAGGTTTATGCATTTAAAGACGAGACACAGCAGATGGTCTTGAGAGGCACTCAGAAAACTATATGACGATGTGTGACTAGACAATATTTAAGATGGATTCACAGGTTTAGATGTCAAGGCTCTTGCTGCGGTTCTTAGAATTGTATGTGTGGTGTAATTGAAAGCTGTACATGTTTTATTCAGATGCTCAGGGTAAACATCGGTAAAAATACAGAAAAAGATCAGAAAGCCATCAGGGCACATTTGTATATAATCATTTTAAAAGATGATTATTTGACATCACACAGCAGGGCCACTCCTCTCAGGATCCAGTATTCTGGAGGCTGACTGGTTTTCAGGTCAACAGCTGCGATATAGTTCAGGTCAGTTCGAACAGGTTTCTTATATATTGGACTTGAGTACAAGCGAACATCTTTGACACCTGAGGAAAGATTACGATTATGTTCAAAAACAAAATGAATGCAACGTGAAACACATCTATGGAAGATTGTTTCCACCACGGAATAAAAAGTAAAGTAATTGCTACACTTCATTTTACTTTTTTTCTTGCAATTGAGTTTATATCACGGTAACTCTTCACGTGAAGGGGTGTGCATAAGACTGACATGACACCTTCATAATCATGACATGACACATGTCATGAATATGAAGGAGGTTTCATGCATGTTTATGACAACTGTCATTAAGTGTCATTCGCTCAATTATGACATTTTTAATGCAAATATGACATTGTTTGAGATGTCTTGGTAATGACACCTTGACATAAACCAATACGTCATTATCTGTCAGTGTCTTTGTCATGACAACTTGACATAAACCAATAACATCATAACCTGTCAGTGTCTTTGTCATGACAACTTGACACTACTGAGACAACACAACCTGTCATAAATATGTCATAACCATGACATAGCAGATTAATTATCAAACTTAAGAAACCACTTAGGTTAACATTACATTAAACTGTCAGGTGGTTGGTTTTGACATTGGCTGTCATGAGGCCATTGTGTCATGTCATGATTATGAAGGTGTCATGTCTGTCTTATGCACACCCCTTCAAGTAAAGTATTACCAAAAAGTTTATATCTTTAGCACAGTGTTTCCCAACCCTGTTCCTGGAGACACGCCAACACTACACATTTTCAAACTCTTCCTAATCAAACACAGGCAAGGGAGATATCTAAAATGTCTACTGTCGGTGTGCCTCCAGGAACAGGGTTGGGGGAAACTGCTCTAGCATGCTGAAAATAATGCTCTAGCATTCAGTAGCATTCTACTATTTCAGCCAAATATAGTTAGAATCGGCTAGTTATAGGTGGTAATCTAGGATTATTCTTCAACCAACAACTGTATATTGGAGATTAATCATGTAGTTGACGTGACAGACTTTGAACTTGGGTCCACAAAAGTGTGCCACACAACATCCCACTTTTATTTTTCATCTCTTTCTTGTAGTTTATTTCCGATGGAACATCAGAAGGTTATCCATCAGTTGTAAATGGCAGTTTGTTGTTCTACTCCTTTATTTGAAATGTTTCCCTTCCAGTTTTACCAAATGTTTGCTGTTTGTCTTTGCATTTTAAAGTATTGAGGTATTCTTAAAGCATTCTTAAAGTATTTTGTTTATATATAAAACTCACCATTGTTCTCTGCGTACATCCTGACCACAGGCATCATCTCGAACAGTACTTTGGGTTTGGAATCAATGAGCTTGCAGTTCCTGCGGTCCCAGCCGGCCCCTTCCAGGTAGAGGCCATAGACATACACCCCCTCTGAAGGAGGCTGCGTGATGTCATCCTTCATCCATTTAGTAACTTCATTACACAGAACCATTCGGTCCAACGCCCACCCCTTGTTAGCACGAGTGATCTCCTGTTGAGTTAGAGACATGATTTATGAGTAGATCTGCTATATATAATTATAATTTAATATAATATAATTGAAAAAAAAACTGCAAGTCTATATAAAAATATATAGTATAAGTAATTCAATATAATTCACACAACGTATATCGTTATTCAACTCAAACCAAGTTAAACATGGCTCCCTGGCCTTCAATTAAAGCGACAGATCTATACTTTGATAAATAAATAAAAATAATTATATTTTAAAAAAAAATCAGCCATTTTTAGTTTTGCCTGCAATGAAGCGTCTGGGTTCTTTCCCTTAAGTTTATTCTCAGAGCTGCAGGTGTTGGCACAGAAACACAGCTGAGAACAGAAAACAGGATGGGTGCCCAATATTAATTAAAAGAATCCTGTTTCATGCAAGCTGTTTACCCCCAAGGCATTAGCTAGAATGCACCCCACTGAGCAGTTCCCTCACAGCCCAAACTGTTTTAACCGGAACAGTTTATTCAGCCTTTAGACAAAATATATATTTTTAAAGTTTGCATAGGTGTTTTTTTTGCTTAGTATCATTTTTGATACATCAGGCTTTATTGGCTCATATGATATAGTGAGGCCCAAACTGAGTGAAAAGATGCAGTTAGTGCAGTTGCTGATATTTATATGGCCAAAAAGTAAGATGAAATTCTGATAGCTGATAATGTAAATCAATGAGATTTTTTTATAACAGTAATGCAGAATATTACATAAAATTCATATAAATAGGTCACTCTTTATCTCCCAATAATATGACTTATTACGATGACATTTTAAATGCTTAATGATCTGTAATTTTTATGGTGGGGGGCAAAACATATAATGCACTGTTATACAATGATGATTAAAATATGTATGCACAAATAAACGTTCCTCAAAATCATGATGCATCATATTTGAAAGACAATTTTAACATGTTTTTTTTCTGAAACATGATTTATGGATAATCAAATAAACCCAAGTTGCTTCCCGTAAATGTTTATCTTGAAATATTACTAACAGTTTCAAAATTATTCTTACGTTTACTTTATAAAAATCACTGTTTGTATACCGTTTTTTAGAATTAACTAAAAGGTCTTTTAATTGTGAAACATGTATAAACTATCAGAGGGTAGCAGGCATGTAGTAGTGTACAACAGGTTGTTTAGCAAAGTTTTGTTGATAATTTGAAGGCCTTAGACATTTGCATATCAACATAAAAAGATACTCTAGGCTTTAAAGGGTTAACATCTAACTCCTAAAGGACAAAATTAAAACTTGTTGTTGAGGAAAAACAATCAGATCAACAGATCAGGAGGGAAATGAGTACAAGTGTACGTTAAGCAGAAGTGTTCATGTTACCCACCTGTCTCATAGCTGTCAGGAAGCCCTGTGGGTTGAAGAAGCCTGTCATCCAAAAGCAGTTGGGTCGTCCCTCAAAAATCCATGAGTGGAACTGCCGGTTACGCTCCAGCAACTCTGTGAACCAAAACCCCAATGTGGTAGAAGCCCAGGAGGCCTGCATACATACAGACACACACACAGGCAGAAGGTCAGCTGAGCAGAACCACAGTTAACACGTACAAAGACAGAGTGACACTTAGCAAATCCAGATCTTAGAGGGATGCTTGAGGCATATGGCTGATGGTTGAACTCCAGCTGACCAGCCCGTTCTCATCCTTTGGCGTCATACATGTGACGCTTTGGACATTTCGTTGAAATCTTACGCACATGGCATCCTTTAGCATCAATATGAGACGCAGAACCCAAGGCGTCATACAGGTGACGCTCGTCTAAATCCAACGCACATGGCATCGTTTAGCGTGAATATGAGACGCAGATCCCAAGGCGTCATAACCGTAACCCTACCCCAGACCTAAACCTACCCATAACAGTGCGTGTTATATTGACGCTAAAGGATGCCATGTGCGTAAGATTTCGACGAAATGTCATATGGCGTCACCTATACGATGCCAAAGGATGAGAATGCGTTGAGCTGACACACACAGATACACACAGGATAGGGTTTTCACCCTGCCCTGGGCTGTCAAGCACTAATGACTAAAAAACACCATAAAGTAAAAGAGCTCTTTGTGTGAAGATTTTAATAGTCAATATCTTTGGATCAAGACAGATTGGACATGATAACAACTGTGGGAAAGATTTATAGTGAATAACAACTTAAATTTCTGCCTGTTCAGCACAGAATGCTGTTGTATAGCTTCAGAATATTTGGAATATAGTCTATATTGTCAAATGGACTACTTTTATGGTTCTTTTATTGTGATGGTTTTTGTCCTTTTTGCAGTTTGTCAGGAAAACATACATTTTCCTCAAAAT